AGGATAACTATAAAAGTAAACAACAAGAAGCTGAGTGACAGGCGTCAGAGGGTTGTAGTTAATGGAATATATTCGAAGCTTGGACTTGTCACCAGTGGGGTACCTCAGGGATCTGTACTTGGACCCATTCTCTTTAATATTTTTATTTGTGATATTGCAGAAGGTCTTGATGGTAAGGTATGTCTTTTTGCTGATGATACTAAGATATGTAACAGGGTTGATGTTCCAGGAGGGATAAGCCAAATGGCAAATGATTTAGGTAAACTAGAAAAATGGTCAGAATTGTGGCAACTGACATTTAACGTGGATAAGTGCAAGATAATGCATCTTGGACCTAAAATAGCCTTCCAGCTGAACTGGTAGAGGTTAACACAGTGAGGGAGTTTAGGCATGCATGGGATAGCCATAAGGCTATCCTAGCTTTAAAAATACAATAAAGATAGGGGGCGCAAGAAATAGGTGTGATAATAAAATATTAACAACTTTTATACTTATTCACACTTGTCCTTCAATATACGTGAGCTCCACCTAACTATAAGAATAATCCATAGTATAATATTGTATTATATATGCAATCTTATTACAGGTGCCAAATTTCAACTCACAATTTGCAGAGCCAAGTATAGTAGGCTCTGACTATAACAGCTTGTTTCAAATAACCCTTCAGAGGGGTTTCACCGCCCAATCAGACGGAAGGGCATGAAACCACGTTTGAACAAGCATTCCTCCTTGGATCAGTCACTTGCTCCCTGTGGCGACCAATCAGCGCTTTGTTCGCCAGCCAACCAGGAGAGTGGCACGAACCCAGTGTGAATGGGTGCTCCCTCTCACATTGGTGGTCACAGAACAAGGGAAGGGAGAAGTGATTATAGCTCCGTTGGGAGTGGGTAGGATAATCCCTGACACCGGGATCCAAGACAGCGTGCACAGTCCGTTCGGGAGACGAATGCTCCCCCTGATGGGCATTCGGTAATATGAACCTGTGGCCACCTAAGCGTGGCACAAGCCGCTCGTTCCCCTGTGATCTGCGGTCTTCCCATCTCTTTAGCGAGGTGTGAACGTTTTACTTGGACTATAATGGTAGTCCGGCACTGTTCAGGAGACGAATGCTCCCCCTGGTGGGCATTCGGGAATACGAACTGGCGACCAACCAAGGGAAGAACACGCCACTAGTTCCTTTGCAGTCTGTGGTATTCACACCTCGTTAGTGGAGCAGTCTGGCATTGTCTCCTGTGACCCGATTAAGCCAGATTAACAGGTTGTGATCCATAAGCAGGGTGAATTACTGTGCATACAGATAGGGATGCAGCTTCTTGAGTGCCCACACCACCGTCAGGCACTCCTTCTCAATAGTGGCGTAGCTTACCTCCCAGGGCAGCAGCTTCCTGCTGAGGTAAGTCACGGGGTGTTCTCTGCCATCATCCCCAACCTGGCTCAGCACTGCTCCTAATCCAAACATGGAAGCATCTGTGTGAACAAGAAAGCGTTTTCTGGGATTAGGAGCAGCCAGGACAGGGGCATTGATCAGGGTGTCCTTATGGGCTTGGAACGCCTGCTCACACTCTGGGGTCCAGCTGACCTGTCTGGGTAAGGACTTTTTGGTCAGGTTGGTGAGGGGCATTGCGATGGCACTGTAATTGGGGATGAACTTCCTCTAATAGCCGACTGTCCCCAAGAAAGCCAGCACCTGGGTCTTAGTGAGGGGACCGGGCCAGCTAGCTACTGCTTCTGTATCCCACAACCCACCCGGTGTCCTAGGTAGTGTACCTCTGCCATCCCTAGGGTACATTTACTGGGCTTCAGAGTCAACCCTGCTTCCCTGATCCTGTCCAATACAGCCCCCACATGTGCTAAGTGTTCCTTCCAAGTGTCGCTGTATATGGCGGTGTCAACCAGGTATGCGCAGGCATAATCCTGGAGGCCATCTAACAGCCGGTCCACCATCCGTTAGAAGGTGGCCGGGGCATTCTTCTTCCCGAATGGCATTACCTTAATCTGGTACAGGCCAAAGGGGGTGACAAAGACGGACTTGGGGACAGCATCTGCTGCTAATAGGATCTGCCAATATCCCTTGCATAGGTCAATGATGGTGAGGTATCGGCCCCGAGCCATTCTATCAAGCAGCTCGTCTATGCGGGGCATGAGGTAGGCATTGGAGACCTTCTTGTCGTTGAGCCTCCTGTAGTCCACGCAGAACCTGGTAGTCCCGTCCTTCTTCGGGATTAGGACTACAGGGGAGGCCCAAGGGCTCGTGGATGGTTCGATGACCCCTAGCTGGAGCATCTCCTGGATCTCCTGTAGCATGCTCCCCCGCAATACTAAAAAAGTATAATAATAAATAAAGTATAATAATAATAATGTTAATAATAGGGTCTTTGAATGGACAGCGCTGTGACACTTTTTAAATTAAATATAATAATAATTATAATGATAATGGGGTCTATGTATGGACAGCGCTGCAGCACTGTTTAAATTAATAATAATAATAATAATAATAATAATAATAATGGGGTCTATGTATGGACAGCGCTGCGGCACTGTATAAATTAATAATAATAATAATAATAATAATGGGGTCTATGTATGGACAGCGCTGCGGCACTGTATAAATTAATAATAATAATAATAATGGGGTCTATGTATGGACAGCGCTGCGGCACTGTATAAATTAATAATAATAATATTTCTAATAATAACAATGGGCATGGCTCAGTTTGAGTGCTGAGATAAATACTCTGTAGTGTTGTTTAGATTAATGCTGACAATATTCTAGTATCTCCAGGTCTAACTCAAAATTACAGCTTTTTATTCCCCACTCGGTCATCTCAGCTTTTCATCATCTCTCCGAGCTCAATATTAAGAGTGTGATTGAGATGGGTAATGACATCTAGATCCCAGCACAGACTTGGAAACTAGTGAAAAGCTCAATGTGTTTTTCCTGATCAATACATTATTGTTATCATTGTCAGCTGGCTCCTACACATGGACAATGTTATGCCCACAGTGAGCACTAGATGGTGCTACAAGAGGAGGAATTATTGGTACAATACACCATATAGGAAATGATACATTGTGGCCATTGGCATTGAGATTGGCTTCTACAAGGTCAGAGGAGACAAAGGTCAGTCCCCTGCCATGATTCTAGGCCCAGAGTTTGAGCTCTAGGCAGTATTTGACTTAATCTGATCTTCCACAGTGATTGGTTTCTTCCAGGTGCTAGAGTCCATTACATTAAAATATTTAAATGTAATCTAATTACTAATTAAATTGTGTTAAGCACTTATTTCAGTAACCTAGGGGCACAGTTAGATTTTAGCCCAGACAGCAGGCATTTATCCTGGGAGCCGTGTAGGAGTGACACTTTGTAAGTAAGTGGTGGCTGTATAGCTGGAACACATATAAACCCTCTGTGGCCTTCAGTCTGAGCACCGCAGTCAACCAGCTGGAGGGTGTATGTTTATGTTGTGGTGATGGTGAGTTTCTTCTGCGGATGTTTATTTTGTCCGTGTTTAAATGGTTGATGAAAGAAGGTCTTAATCCAAGACTTTGACAGTAAGTATGAAATATTAATGTTTATATGTTTATTTAATTTTATTAGGATACGTCACTCACACAATTACTTGCAAGAGGGAGGCGGTAAGGAATTTTATATTGTTAGTCAGTGCGACAGAAGCTTCTGTTCCAGGGCCTTTTGGAGAGGCTTGAAGGCCATCCTCTTACCCACAGACTATGGACCTGGTCCGAGGAGCACCTGAAAGGGAATTGTGACTGTAGCAATCAATTTACAATCTGTGCATTGTTAGTTTGACAACTCTGCAGCGCCCTCTGCTGACCGAATAGAAATGGGTATATTTACATAATGCTGGTATGTAAATTAGTGCAATTAAATAGGTAATTAAATGTATATATTGCTGCTTCTCTTTTTGTGCCTGAAAAAGTTACTTGTATTATACAGTTAATGTATTAATTATAATTGCTCGTTCTCCAATGTTCTGTATATTTATATTTAAAATAGTTGTCACCCCATGTTTAAGGATAAGTCACCAAAGGCTAGTCTTTGTCCAAAAAATAAATAAATCAATAAATAAATAAAATAAAATTAAAAAAGAAAAGTATTGTGTGTTAGTTTAATTGACAACTGTGTGTCCTCTCTGGGTTGTTTTGGGATCCCAGAGGGAACAATACTAGTCTAGAAGGACAGAGCTGCAGCCTGTTCAAGTGAAAGAGTTCCTCCGAGACCCCAGTTAAGCTTTGGTGACTGGGTCTGAAGAGCTCCAGAGTCCCTGGTAGCAGAGAGGAAGCTGACCTGGCGGAGGTACTAAGTCGGAGTACGGGAGCTCCGTCACAGTCAGTACCTTGAGCCACAAGGTGGGGAAATGGGGATGGACTGCGACATGGGAAATATCTAATATTTAATTAGGGTATATGAAATAGACACCATCTGATCCTGTAAATAAAGTGCCCCAATCCTGCTCTAATTACAGTCTAAGAGGAACGTCAAGTCCTCAATGATCAATCAACGTCCCTAGGGTGTAAATATTGCTGAATCCCAAAAGTGGAATCCAAAGAAAATATCCTAATGAATAAAACATTGTATCTTTAATAATATGAATAATGTGCAGCCCTGGACAGATGCCTTACTGTGGACATGATCGGCTCTGGGTTACAATCTTGCAGCTAATTTACTCGAACTCTATAGAAACGAGTGGCGGAGAAGAAGAATGACAAACTACAAGCTGAATGTATTCGTTTTATAAAGTCGTTCAGTCTGCCTTTGTGGGAATGCCCAAAAGGTAATATTTTTATGGAGATAATACAGAAGACTACTTTTCTAACCATGAAGAAGTCCATGATGGGGTGGAAGTGTGTGGGCTGGTGGAGAGCAGTTAAATGTTATCTCTGTTTGTATCTAATATCCCATTATGTGCTATCTGTAATCCCACACAGAAAGCAGGGTCTCACTATGGAGTGATGATATTTCTATTTATTGGAATCAGTTACATCAAGCGACAGTAATTAGCAATGATTGGATGGGAAGTGGTGGGACACAGTCCATCCCAAGCGGAGAGATAGTAGGATGGATCACGAGGCATGCCATCAGTGTGCTATGTGCTATGCATCATCCGTCACTCGTTATCGGATAGAGATTTGTTTTCTGTTGAAAGAAAAACAAGGTATTCCTTAATTAATTTATTCCTTAAAATAATACCAAATGATAAAACCAAACGGATCTTCCAAATCACGCAGCCTTCATCATTACAGCTTGTGTTACTGACATTTATAGAATCTCACACCTTCTGCGGACCTCATTTATTCTAACATTGCCTCCCACACTCTCTGAATCTCTGGGAATGGCTCAGTGTGATGGACCACTGACAATGAATGCCTGAACCCCTCCTACTGATTGCACAGCACCCCAAATCTTCTACTGATAGACATAGCACCCCAAATCTTTGATTGATAGACATAGCACCCCAAATCCTTTACTAATGGATATAGCACCCCAAATCTTCTACTGATTGCACAGCACCCCAAATTGTCTACTTTTGAAAGGGCAACTCGTATCTTTTACTGATGGACATAGTACCCCATATCTTCTACTGATTATTGTACAATACCCCCCTACAGGGAGTGCAGAATTATTAGGCAAATAAGTATTTTGACCACATCATCCTCTTTATGCATGTTGTCTTACTCCAAGCTGTATAGGCTCGAAAGCCTACTACCAATTAAGCATATTAGGTGATGTGCATCTCTGTAATGAGAAGGGGTGTGGTCTAATGACATCAACACCCTATATCAGGTGTGCATAATTATTAGGCAACTTCCTTTCCTTTGGCAAAATGGGTCAAAAGAAGGACTTGACAGGCTCAGAAAAGTCAAAAATAGTGAGATATCTTGCAGAGGGATGCAGCACTCTTAAAATTGCAAAGCTTCTGAAGCGTGATCATCGAACAATCAAGCGTTTCATTCAAAATAGTCAACAGGGTCGCAAGAAGCGTGTGGAAAAACCAAGGCGCAAAATAACTGCCCATGAACTGAGAAAAGTCAAGCGTGCAGCTGCCACGATGCCACTTGCCACCAGTTTGGCCATATTTCAGAGCTGCAACATCACTAGAGTGCCCAAAAGCACAAGGTGTGCAATACTCAGAGACATGGCCAAGGTAAGAAAGGCTGAAAGACGACCACCACTGAACAAGACACACAAGCTGAAACATCAAGACTGGGCCAAGAAATATCTCAAGACTGATTTTTCTAAGGTTTTATGGACTGATGAAATGAGAGTGAGTCTTGATGGGCCAGATGGATGGGCCCGTGGCTGGATTGGTAAAGGGCAGAGAGCTCCAGTCCGACTCAGACGCCAGCAAGGTGGAGGTGGAGTACTGGTTTGGGCTGGTATCCTCAAAGATGAGCTTGTGGGGCCTTTTCGGGTTGAGGATGGAGTCAAGCTCAACTCCCAGTCCTACTGCCAGTTCCTGGAAGACACCTTCTTCAAGCAGTGGTACAGGAAGAAGTCTGCATCCTTCAAGAAAAACATGATTTTCATGCAGGACAATGCTCCATCACACGCGTCCAAGTACTCCACAGCGTGGCTGGCAAGAAAGGGTATAAAAGAAGAAAATCTAATGACATGGCCTCCTTGTTCACCTGATCTGAACCCCATTGAGAACCTGTGGTCCATCATCAAATGTGAGATTTACAAGGAGGGAAAACAGTACACCTCTCTGAACAGTGTCTGGGAGGCTGTGGTTGCTGCTGCACGCAATGTTGATGGTGAACAGATCAAAACACTGACAGAATCCATGGATGGCAGGCTTTTGAGTGTCCTTGCAAAGAAAGGTGGCTATATTGGTCACTGATTTGTTTTTGTTTTGTTTTTGAATGTCAGAAATGTATATTTGTGAATGTTGAGATGTTATATTGGTTTCACTGGTAATAATAAATAATTGAAATGGGTATATATTTGTTTTTTGTTAAGTTGCCTAATAATTATGCACAGTAATAGTCACCTGCACACACAGATATCCCCCTAACATAGCTATAACTAAAAACAAACTAAAAACTACTTCCAAAAATATTCAGCTTTGATATTAATGAGTTTTTTGGGTTCATTGAGAACATGGTTGTTGTTCAATAATAAAATTAATCCTCAAAAATACAACTTGCCTAATAATTCTGCACTCCCTGTATCTGTCCTCTCTCCAGGGCTGTGACAGATGTTTACCCTCTGATTAGGACCTTCCTCACCTTACACACCTGTGCATCTGAAGTTACATCCAATGTTACAGCATTTCTCATTTCCAGGGCAGTTTGCGTCCGATTCACAATTACCGGGGTGGTTGGGTACCGGGCACTTTATCACGCTATGCAGTACAGGACACATGCCAGGCTTTTCTGTAAGAGTTAAACAACAGAGCTCAATACGAATCATAATGGGTTAACAGATAAACAGCTTTCACTCATAAATCCCAACTCTTATCACTCTCAGCTCACACTCTCATTACTCCCAGCTCTCTATTATCACTCCCAGTTCTCCCATCAATAATTTAGTGAAATTGTTTCATTGTAAACTTTTCATTACTGAAATATAGACAGCTGACACTGGTAAGCAAAGAGTTAATTATCCCAACATAAAATAGGATGTTTGTGGTTGGTTCTTTGATAAATCCCAATCATTCATCAGTGTCATTACCGCTCCCACTGGAAGGAAATTCCAGATATATACTACCCTTTCTATATCACTGTTACTGCTCCCACTGGAGGGCTATTCCAGGTATCTACTACCCTTTCTACATCACTGTTACTGCATCCCACTGGAAGGCTATTCCAGGTATCTACTACCATTTCTATATCACTGTTACTGCTCCCACTGGAAGGTTATTCCAAGGATCTACTACCCTTTCTATAACACTGTTACTGCTCCCGCTGGGAGGCTATTCCAGGTATCTACTACACTTTCTATATCACTGTTACTGCTCCCACTGGAACGCTATGCCAGGTATCTACTACCCTTTCTTTATCGCTGTTACTGCTCCCACTGGAAGGCTATTCCAGGTATCTACTACCCTTTCTATATCACTGTTACTGCTCCCACTGGAAGGTTATTCCAGGTATCTACTACCCTTTCTATATAACTGATACTGCTCCCACTGGAAGGCTATTCCAGGTATCTACTACCCTTTCTATATCACTGTTACTGCTCCCACTGGAGGCTATTCCTGGTATGTCACAACTTGTACAAGCACCAACTAGAATGGATGCTTGTCTGGACCTGGTTTTAACAAACAACGTTGATCTTTTGACCAACATTCAAGTAGGTGAGCACTTGGGAAATAGTGATCACAATATAGTGTCCTTTGAAATAAACTCAAAAAAAACAAAAGCACATGGGGTATACTAAAACATATAATTTTTAAAAGGCCAATTTCAATAAGTTAAGGGAAGCTTTACAATATATTGACTGGCATAAACTCTTTAGTGAAAAGAACACTGAGGATAAATGGATCATCTTCCAACAAATATTACAAAGGTACATTTCTCAGTATGTACCGTTGGGAAATAAATATAAAAGAAACAAATTAAAACCCAATGGGGCTTAGTAGAGAAGTAAAACAAGAGATTACAACTAAGAAGGGCATTTAAAGCATTTATTTCGGACAAATCAGATGCATCTTATAAAAAAGATATAAGGATGCAAATAATGCGTGCAAAAAGGCAATTAGACTTGCTAAACTTCAAAATGAAATAATGATAGCTGAAGAGAGCAAAACCAACCCAAAGCATTTTTTAAGTACATAAACTCTAAACAAAAAAATGAAAGTGTAGGTACACTAAAAACTGAAACAGGGGTGTTAATTAATGCAGACCAGGAAAAGGCAGGAATTTTAAATAACTATTTCTCCTCTGTATATATTAAGGAAGAACCCATGGCAATAGATGTGCAAATGATTGCTACTAAAAACTTGCAGAATTGTAATTGGTTAACTCAAGACAAGGTGCTGCAGCAACTAAAGAAAGTTAATATAAACAAAGCTCCAGGGCCTGACGGTATCCATCCACATGTACTTAAGGAACTAAGTGCAGAAATAAGTGAACCTCTGTTTTTAATCTTTCAAGATTCTTTTCTTTCAGGAAGTGTTCGGAGGATTGGAGGAAGGCAGATGTGGTTCCTATATTCAAAAAGGGTTCAAAATCCTTGCCTGGAAATTATAGTCCTGTGAGCTTAACTTCTGTGGCTGGTAAAATATTTGAAAGTTTATTAAGGGATAATATTCAAGAATTCCTTGAGAAGAACATGGTTATCAGCAAAAATCAGCACGGTTTTATGAAGCACAGGTCATGTCAAACTAACTTGATTGCGTTCTACGAAGAAGTAAGTAGAAGTATAGATCAGGGTGTTGCAGTGGATGTGATCTATTTGGATTTTGCCAAGGCATTTGATACAGTTCCACACAATAGATTAGTGTTCAAACTCAAGGAAATCGGTCTAGATGAAAATGCTTGTTCTTGGGTAGAACATTGGCTTACAAACAGAGTACAAAGAGTTGTCATTAATGGTAAATTTTCAAGCTGGACAGAGGTGGCAAGTGGTGTCCCTCAGGGGTCTGTTCTGGGACCCCTTCTATTTAACATGTTTATAAATGATCTTGAAGACCGCATTGAAAGTCATGTTTCAGTGTTTGCAGATGACACAAAACTTTGTAAAACAATACAATGTGAGCAAGATATTACTTTGCTGCAGAGGGATTTAGATAGACTGGGAGACTGGGCACTCAAATGGCAGATGAAATTTAATGTTGAAAAATGCAAAGTTATGCACTTCGGCGTAAAGAATACACAAGCAACGTATACCCTTAATGGAAGCAAATTAGGGATAACAACACACGAAAAGGACTTGGGAATTGTTATAGACAACAAACTATGCAACAATGTGCAATGTCAATCAGCAGTGGCCAAGGCCAGTAAGGTATTGTCATGCATGAAAAAGGGCATTCATTCTCGGGACAAGAATATAATTTTGCCTCTTTATAAATCACTGGTAAGACCCCATATTGAATATGCTGTGCAATTTTGGGCACCTGTTCTAAAGAAGTATATTATGGCACTAGAAAAAGTGCAGAGGCGGGCTACAAAATTAATAAAAGGAATGGAACATATCGGCTATGAAGAAAGGTTAACAAATTTAAACCTATTTAGTTTAGAAAAACGTCGCCTGAGAGGGGATATGATAACATTATACAAATATATTCGGGGCCAATACAAACCATTGTGTGGAAATCTATTCACAAACCGGACTTTACATAGGACACGAGGCCATGCGTTTAGACTGGAAGAAAGAAGATTTCGTCTAAGGCAAAGGAAAGGTTTTTTTACTGTAAGAACAATCAGGATGTGGAATTCTCTGCCTGAGGAAGTGGTTTTATCAGAGTCCATACAGATGTTCAAACGGCTACTAGATGCATACTTGCAAGAACAGAATATTCAAGGATATAATCTTTCAATGTAGGGTAATAACTGCTTGATCCAAGGATAAATCTGACTGCCATTCTGGGGTCAAGAAGGAATTTTTTTCCTAGCTTGTTGCAAAATTGTGCTTCAAACTGGGTTTTTTTGCCTTCTTTTGGATCAACAGCAATAAACAAATGTGAGGAAGGCTGAACTTGATGGACGCAAGTCTCTTTTCAGCTATGTAACTATGTAACTATGTAACTCCTAAATGGCAGTGCAATGAGACTGCAGGTGCATGATATATACACCAAAACTGCTTCATTAAGATACACTTGTTTTGGTGACTATAGTGTCTCTTTAAATCTTGCCAACAGAGCTCTCAACAATTCTACCCCCTCCGCTACAATTCTTAACTAATTTGTAGGTTCGCCCCTTCTCAGTCACTCCGCTCTGCCAGAAACTGTGACGGACCACCTGGCACCCCGACTGGGTACCTTTGTCAAGCTCGCTTGGCTGGGGTCTCTCTGTAGCTTCCCACCCTGTAACAGGGTCCTAGGTACAGCTCCAAGTGATCACGCTCTCCTGCAGAGAGTATAGTTTATACATGTCTCACCCAAACACTAGCTGAGACTTAGTGAAGGGCAAAGTAATCACACCAGGGTGTCATCACACAAAACATTGCAAGTCCCTCCTTGGAGTCTTAGTGTCTAGGACAGAATTAGGTCAAGTCCATAACTGAATGACCTGCCTGACACCAACAGCCATTGTATTATAAACTAATGTCTTCCCTTCTGTTTTCCTTTTATACACACAGACTCGCTAACACAATTATCTCTCATAGTACAAAGAACTCCTAAAACACATATATAATAGTATACGGCAGACTAAAGGGGTCTGCCGGAACAATGGACAACGACCTTCTGGGAAAACAACAAGGCAGTTGCACCCAGTGTACTCAGTTAGTGTGCCATTCCCCAGTGTACTCAATTAGTGTGCCATTCCCCAGTTTACTCAGTTAGTGTGCCATTCCCCAGTTTACTCATTAAGTGAGCCATTACCCAGTGTACTCAGTTAGTGTGCCATTCCCCAGTGTACCCAGTATGCCATTACCCAGTATACCCATTATGGCATTACCCAGTGTACCCAGTATGCCATTACCCAGTAAGTGTGCCATTCCCCAGTGTACTCAGTAAGTGTGCCATTCCCCAGTTTACTCATTAAGTGAGCCATTACCCAGTGTACCCAGTATGCCATTACCCAGTATACCCAGTATGCCATTACCCAGTGTACCCAGTATGCCATTACCCAGTGTGCCCAGTAAGTCTGTCATTACCCAGTGTACCCAGTATGCCATTACCCAGTGTACCCAGTAAGTGTGCCATTACCCAGTGTACTCAGTAAGTGTGCCATTAGCCCAGTGTATCCAGTAAGTCTGTTATTACCCAGTGTACCCAGTTAGTGTGCCGTTACCCAGTGTACCCAGTAAGTGTGCCATTACCCAGTCTACCCAGTAAGTGTGCCATTAGCCCAGTGTACCCAGTGTGCCATTAGCCCAGTGTACCCAGTAAGTGTGCCATTAGCCAGTGCTGGTCCTAGGATTTACCTTTCAATGACGGTACACACTGCAAGCGGTTTTTAGATTTAGACAGACAGCATTTCTCGTTCTTCTTGCAATCCGCGTCAGTGCTGCAGAGTGGTTTATCTGACGTTATAATGCAAGCTATCTCCTCATTGCTGATTGGACAGAAGCCGGCGTGCTCTGTAGAGAAGGACACGGAATACTTTATTCTAACACATACCTGTGTTATTATAACAT